CACACACACACACACACACGCACACACACACACACACACCTACAATCAAGAAAGAAAACTTGGCAGTATAGTTGACAGGCCCATGCAGGTAATGCCTAGGCTAACATTGTTGAGAGGACTTGAGCAAGACGAGGTGTCTAGGAAAGGTTGGGGATCCGAGACATGCACTCACCTCAAGTTGTCAGGTATCCGGAGGTACTCACACCACGACCTGTAATTCTTCACAACCTTCTCATACAACTGCTCCACGGCTCTTGTTGAAAGCTGCAAGATTGCCAGCGGGGGGGGGAAATGGGAAAAAAATGGAAATCCATGTCAGTCAAGAGAAGGCAAGACAAAAAAAGAAAAAAAAACACTTTAAAAAGGGGGGAGGGAAGAGAGAAAGAGCATGCCGTACTGGAAGCGTAACATTGTGCATGGCAGTTCAGGTAAAGTTTTCCCCTCTGTTAATCTCCAAAAAGGTACCAGAGGATTTTAACCGTAGGGTACTAGAGTCGCCCCAGCATGTATGCACATCCGGGGCAAGGTTCCACTCACATGCATTCGGTTTTCACCTCTGCCAATTTATGTGCCAGAATGCCGTTCCTACATGACAAACGAGACAATCCACCAGTCTTCTACTCATCCTCCGAATTCCTCTGCCCCGTTTCTCCTCCCTCCTCTCTGCCGACATGTAGTGACCGCAATAAGCACCAGGCCCCACTGGTGCTGTTTTTCATGCTAGGAAACCATGAACCTGGCCACTGTTACAGCCAGGTTCATTTCCAAGCATGAACATACAACTAGTGTGGCCCGCTCCTACCTGTAACCACTTTCCCCAAGGTGATATGGAATGTTAAAACCACCACCAACTCTAAGTCCTCAACGGACCTCACCAGTATACAAGGGGGTTGTGGCGTCAGTTCCCAGTAGCAGCGCAGCAGCAGCCAGTTGCAGCCACAAAGAAAAACTGTGGCCACCCATTTTAACGGTCAAATCGCAATCGAGGTGTTCAGATCCCTTCGCAAACAAAACACCAGGGTCTTCCCATCACCAAGTCTAGGGTCGGTCTAAAGAGAGGTTTGCAGGCAGTGGTGGCTCAACCAGAGTCGAGCACAACAAGCATTTCCACTTGCAGAATTCCTCCTCTGGTCCATTTTCCCTGCATCCACTTTTCTCGAATCTTGTGTTATTACAGATAGTTTCATCCTAGGAATTCAGTAGTGATCACGACGGGCCTAGCTCAATCTGTAGACCAGTGAACTGTCGAAATGCAGTCCTGAGTTCGGATCCAGACGTAACTCAATGAACGAAGACAAACAATTCTGACAAAAGAAGGAACAGGAATCCAGTGGTGACATGCATCATCGCCATTCATTGGGTCAATGGACAACACAACGCCCCCAGCGATACACTGACTTTGTGCTAGTGCACCATTATTGTTCAAATACTGTGTGGAACGATGCACCAACTACTCACTGCACCACCAACACAACCACACACTAACACAAAGTGGCTCCTCACCATCCTCGTCAAGCATTCGGCTAAGCCTTCACCAGCCAAGACGCCAAGGTGCAAGGCTGGGACAGCTGCACCTATCACAGAGAAGCGCCAACATGTGTCAACAAACATTTGGTCCAGACAGTGTACTGAAGACAGGGTTGGTGATTAATCAGAGGGTGGATGGGTTAGGAATGAGAGGGTGGGTAGCTGACAAGAGGATGGCCACAACTTCAAAGTCACCTCGGATGGGTGTTGGTCGTTGCCCGGCGGGACCCGAGCATGCATGTTGGCTAGCAGCAACACAAGGTTCTCCCTTTGGCTCCGCACATTGTCTTCCTGCAAACCACACAAAGTAAAATGAAGGGGGGGGGGAATGTCAGCAGATTCTCATGACCACTGCTCTGCTCAAAGGAATAAGAAAAGAAAGTTTGAGCAGAAAAGAGGTGAGGTATGTCCTTCGGGACATCCATTTTTTAATGAGACAGAGACAATTCGCATGGCCCATGCACACCAAACATTAAGGGAAAAAAAGGCAAAGGCAAATGAGAGCAAAGGTGTTCAGCCAAAGAAAAACTTGTTCGACAAATTGAGAAAGGAAAAATGCCACCAAACAGTAGAAAGTACACCAAGATGGCTACGATTAGCAACGAAAAGAAAGGAACGAAAATGATATAACCCCCTCCTCAATTCCTAAGCCAAGCCATCCATAGCGGGCGGTAAAAGAAGAAGGAAAAGCTCACTCTCAGGACATATTCACTCTGGTGACTTCCCAGGACGTATCTAGCTGCAATCACGGCAGGATGCAGTCAACAAGTCCTGGTGCAGATATGCTTCAAATCCTAGAGAAACCAGCGCATCCACAATTCCAGAGGGAAACGGGTAAGACAAATCTGAGAACCACGTATCTGACTGCAATCACGGCAGGATGCAGTCAACAAGTCCTGGTGGCTAAATCCTACACAGCAGTGCACACATAAAACCATTCATAAACAGATCTCGAGTTCGAATCCTGTAGGCTACAATAAGTTATGGGCTCCCCCCTTACGAGAGGAAAAAAACAAAAGACAGAACCAATCAGGCACTGTAAATGGCAACAACACACCTTGCTCCAACATGCGGGTGCCGCCATGTCAAATCAGTGGAAAAGACAAAAAAAATCATATTCTCCTTCATTCTGACTTTCCGCTGGGACACGCTACAGCTACACATAGTTTTTGTTTTGTTTTGTTTTGTTTACCATTTCTCGATTTGTGCGTGTCGTCCTTGCGCAGGGGCCATGCTAATCTTCTCTGTATCGTTCCAATTTTAAGGGATGTCCCGAAGGACTGTTATTCATGCTCTCTACTTATAAACTATTCTCGTTCTTTTTTTTGCCTTTTTTTCCCCATCCTCTAGAACATATTCTACTTATTCGAAATGGCTACTTTCTCTCTCTCTCGAACAAGGCAACAAGCGTACACAAACTACTGCTTTATTGCCCTTTCCGATATCAGTAAGTGCAGGTGTGATATGCAAAAGATTCAAACAACAGAGGTATATTTTGGGCCCAAGGTAGGGCAATGACCGCCATGTGGATTTGTTTACAGGGTTGATGAGAATATGTAAACATAGTTATCAACTTATCGCATGAAAAAAGGGGTGATCATCATGGAAATAAAAACCGTAGTGTGTGGTCACATTAGAGCTTTTTTTACTCAATCTGATACCTATTTCCACCAGCTTCCGCCGCAAAGTGTTCCTGTAACCTTTTTTGACACAGTCTCAGCTTACAATTTTGCAATGTCTCGACTGAATCCGACTTAAACCTCGGTTATATTCAGTTCAGAAAGGATGACGATGTTTTTCTGAAAGGGTTTCCTGGGATTTGCAAAAAGCAGCACCCCATGATGTTTATGACAAAGTAGAATTTTATGTACCCGTAGGCACACGAGGAGATTGTTCTGATCGTTATTGTGTCCGCAGTGAAGAAATGCAACAAAGTCTTTGAATCATTGTCCAATGCTTTATAAGGGTGCTGGGGGGAGGTATGAGGATGTTTGGGGGGTGTATGGGGGTGCTGCAGGGGCCGGGGGGGGTATGGGGGTGTTGGTGGGGTTATAGGATTATGGACCCCTGGAAACAAAAAAAAAAAAAACGGGGTACCAACCAACCTCCAATCAGTAGCTGCCAACGGGTGGAAAGCTCGGCTGCCAATCCAGGGGCACGAGCAGTCGGCTACTCTGCTTGGCAGCCTTCTCGAACTCATCTCCTTCAACAGAAACAAACCGTAAAAAACCGTAACTGTGAAAAGAATGACAAAGATTCATGATGTATGGCACATGCTGCTGTATAACACAAACATATTACCACCAGTTTGGACGAGTCTACGTTCGCGAACCAACCCGATGTGACACATCACTCCAACTCATCGCGCAACTTGGGGGCCGAGGCGAGAATATCTTTTAAGTCGTTATGGCCCTCAAGGAGCCTATCGACCATTCTTTCCACATCGACCCCCTCCTCCAAGTAGGCACCAAGGCTAGTGCAGACACGGCTCAGAAAGGTGCGGCACAGAAGAAGAAAAAGTATGTTGTCCGCTTGAAGGCTCTGCTGCCCAGCGTGACACGTCACTCCTACCAGGTCACACATGCATTCAGTAACTTTTCTGCGAATTTTTTTCCACAGGCCAAAGTTGCCCAGCCAACTTTTTTTTTCCCCTGACGCGGAGTCATCTAAGGAACATACCCAACTCTTTCCCAGAACTTTCTGTCACTGGAATTAGAATTAAAATTGCCACAAAAGTTGGGGTACTCGGAATTTTGCACAAGCCCACAGTACCCCCCTTGGGTCCTGTAGGCCAAAGCGGCATACTCTTAGAGGCCAATGTTAGCCTCGGACAAACTGGCGGATTAAGTGGGGGGAAGGAAAGAAACCCAATCAAAACAAATTTAGAAGTAAATGCACTGCATATAGATGCTATCGCCAGGCCGCATCCCCACAAGCGTACGGCAGTCCACCTAACGGCAAAATTGAACGTCAGAAAATGAGGCCCGAAGGTACTGGAGGTTTAAGCACTGTGGTCCTCGCTCCACTACTCACCAAAGGTGCAAAATGAGAATGAATCTTCCGCTACAACATGGACAGATACACCACCATATTTTTTTGTCTTTTGTTCATGTGGTGAGTAGTGGAGTGAGGCCCTGTGTTCTATCTTGTGGGAAGACACAAGGGTTCCAATTAGCATCAACTTATACGTGTGCAATCACGTCTTCTATTGACGACTCCACTTGAAAAGACAAACAGACAAAGAGAAAAAGGCCTGCTCAAAACAACGAACCTGGAAGCCAAACCATGCCATCAACCAATCCATGATATCCTCGCGTCCTCTAGTTGTTGGTCGGAAATTCGGAGGGACCGGAGCACCGGATTGCAGTTGGATACCATCAATTGCAGCTCTGATCTGCACAAAGTATGGTCACACAGAACAGCACACAAACAGGAACACAGCCAGCCAAAGGAGCGTCTCAGAGAAACACACAGGAGTGCACACAGGAATGCACACAGAATAGCTCACAGAGCATCTCTCTCTCTCTCTCTCTCTCTCTCTCTCTCTCTCTCTCTCTCTCTCTCTCTCTCTCTCTCTCTCTCTCTCTC